CCCTACGAAGACCCCTTACCTAGGTTCCTTCTTGGTTCCGATGCAGTTTTACCCAAACTCCCTACGAAGCAACCTTACCTAGGTTCCTTCTCGGTTTAGATGCAGTTTTACCCAAACTCTCCACGAAGCAACCTTACCTAGGTTCCTTCTCGGTTCTGATGTAGTTTTACCCAAACTCCCTACGAAGCAACCTTACCTAGGTTCCTTCTCGTTTCAGATGCAGTTTTACCCAAACTCCCCACGAAGCAACCTTACCTAGGTTCTTTCTCAGTTCATATGCGATTTTACCCAAATTCATCTCGAAGTAACCCTACGACCTAGGTTCCTTCTCATAGCCCTACTATTCAGGCTTTCATTTTGAAGTTACCCTACGACCCAAGTTCCTTCTCATAGCCCTACTATCCAGGCTTTCATTTCGAAGAAACCCTACTATCCAGGTTCCTTCCCATAAGTCCTATTATCCAGGCTTTCATCTCGAAGTAACCCTACTATCCAGGTTCCTTCCCATAAGTTCTACCCTCCAAGCTTTCATCTTGAAGTAACCCTACTATCCAGGTTCCTTCCCATAAGCCCTACTATCCAGGCTTTCATCTTGAAGTAACCCTACGACCCAGGTTCCTTCTCATAGCCCTACTATCCAGGCTTTCATTTCGAAGTAACCCTATGACCCAGGTTCCTTCTCAGAGCCCTACTATCCAGGATTTCATTTCGAAGTAACCCTATGACCCAGGTTCCTTCTTATAGCCCTACTATTCAGGCTTTCATTTCGAAGTAACCCTACTATCGAGGTTCCTTCCTATAAGCCCTACTATCCAGGATTTCATATCGAAGTAACCCTACTATCCAGGTTCCTTCCCATAAGTCCTACCATCCAGGCTTTCATATCGAAGTAACTATACTATCCAGGTTCCTTCCCATAATCCCTACTATTCAGGCTTTTATCTCGATGTAACCCTACTATCCAGGTTCCTTCCCATAAGTCCTACCATCCAGGCTTTCGTCTTGAAGTAACCCTACTATCCAGGTTCCTTCCCATAAGCCTTACTATCCAGGCTTTTATCTCGAAGTAACCTTACGACCCAGGTTCCTTCTCATAGCCCTACTATCCATGCTTTCATTTCAAAGTAACCCTACGACCTAGGTTCCTTCTCATAGCTCTACTATCCAGGCTTTCATTTTGAAGTAACCCTACGACCCAGGTTCCTTCTCATAGCCCTACTATCGAGGCTTTCATTTTGAAGTAACCCTACGACCCGGGTTCCTTCTCATAGCCCTATTATCCAGGCTTTCATTTCGAAGTAACCCTACGACCCAGGTTCCTTCTCATAGCCCTACTATTCAGGCTTTCATTTCGAAGTAACCCTACGACCCAAGTTCCTTCTCATAGCCCTACTATCCAAGCTTTCATTTCGAAGCAACCCTACTATCCAGGTTCCTTCTCTCTTATCTTCGGACAAAAGTTTACAACACTCTAAGACCTGGACCCGATCACACACAGACGGTTTCACATTTCCCCAGTAAGTCGTTATGCAGCCTGGACCCTCACCAGATAGGCAGTTTACTTCCACCTCCTCAATCAGAAGTTAATTCCCCAGTAGAGTAATGGACAACCGAAGCTTATATACTCTATTTCCCAGGACATAAATCAACATTCCCCGGTGAAGTTCTCCTCAACAGCAGGTACAAAGTTTCTCACAAAGGAATCTCTTATGCAATCAATATCTTTTTTGGATGGCATCTTTAAGCCCATCTCCAACGATTCTATGTCAACTTCCAAATGGCATCTGTAAGCCCATTCCCGATATCACCAATCAGTATTACTCCATGCGAGTGCAAATTTCTAGGCACTCTAGTGTTCAATCATCTTCCACCTTCAGATCACAAAAGGCAGACCCGCCAATCTACATCCTCAGGTTTAAGAAGATTGAATAGGGGAAGATGTTGCACCCCAAAATTTTCCCTCTCATTTTACTCAACACATGCTCATTGAGGTCCTCAATTTGCCCAAGGATGCCTAAGGATTGACCAGACAAATCCTCCTCCTAAGACAATGAGCCTCAAACTAGGGTTTCCATTTTTATCAAGATGTTTGAGTTCCAAGGGTCCCAAATTATTTCCATTGCCCTAATATGTTCTTAAGATCATCCATGTCAAGTATCATGCCTTGCACAAGAAGTTGCTCAGTCAATTACTCAAATGCCTAAAAATCAAATGTACTAGGTCAAAAGTCAATTATGGTCCTCATGCAGTCAAACTTCAAGATTTTTGGTCAACATCAACATTTTGAAGTTATTTTCATCATTTGATCAAGGGTTGATCATGATTCCTCAAGGAATGCTCCTAATTTATCAAAACTCAAAAGTTGCTAAATTAGGGTTCCTATAGGAAAAGTCAACCAAACTTTGACCAGGCATAACTTTCTCATACTTTATCAGAAATTTCTCATCCAAGGATCATTTTTAAGAGAATCTAATTCCCTACAACTCATCTTCATCCCTCAAGTTCAAGAAATGCACTCATGAAAATATATAAATTCAGACATTATAGGTCCTTTTCAAAAGTCAACAAAAACACCTTTTGGGTAAAAGCTTCTTACATGAACATGGAAGATCCAATTAAGATGAAACCAAAGAGTTTGCTTAGGGGACGTCCTAAGATTTCTAAAAAGTCAAAGAACACCCTCATAGGGTTAAAATTGAGAGAGAGATATGCATTGCCAAAGATGGCTAATTTTTGAAAAAAAATGCATGAAGCAAATATTGACCAAACTTGGATTTTTTTTCCAAATGGGACTATCTTTTCAAGTTTGAAACTCATTCCTAACATGGTCCAAGACCTCTAAGCCCACCCATACATTTTTCTACTATTTATGCTATTTATTTTGATATTTTATTCATTAAAATTCAGAATTAAATAAATAAATAATATAAATAATATAAATTTTGATGTGAAACTATTTTGGGCAAGTTTTATGCTGGTTTATGTCAATAGATTTCATGAAATAACCCTTCAAATATGTCCAGGTTCATCCATATATGAAAATGGCATAAAATCATCAAATATGGCATTTTTTTTAAAATTTTGATCATGATCTTAAAACACAACATTATGAGGGAGATTCTTTCCATGCTTTCTTGTCTCCTCATTCTCCTCTATAAATATAGAGTCATACAAGCTTGAAATACACGAAATTCCTCTCTAAAAATCTCTCAAAAAGCTCTTCAAAAAGCTCTCCAAAAGCTCTTCAAAAAGCTCTCAAGAAAAAATTGGTGCAAGTCATATCTCGAGGTTCCAATCTCTCTCGATTGACATCAAGCCTCAAACCATCCTCTTGAAGTCCTCGGGAGTCTTACAAGGCCCAAGAGCAATTCATCACACGCCTAGCACGCCCCCATTTGACAACACCGGTTTGGTAAAATTTTAAACTTCGAATCTTTAATTTTAATCACATTTCATGGCATGCTAACGTTTGTTTGAGTTTATATAGAACAATTAGATATAATTGAATCAGAGGCCCCACGCAAGAATCTGAAAACACCATGGTTAGGGCATGAAGCTTTCGAAGATTCGGGCCTATGGATTTCTGATGATTGCATCCTCTGTTTACCTTTGCTACTAGGCCCATCTTTATTTTCTTGTTTTATTCATTTCATTTATTTCTTTTAATCCCTTTTTTTTATTTTAATCAATAAACAAATATAAAAATCACATAAAAATAGATTTAGGATTTTTCTTAATTAAATTTTAATTTTGGTAAATTAATTAACTAATCACTTTAACTTTTTTTTAAATTAAAATTAATAGAACTTAGGTTTAATTTTATTTTAATTAACTTTCCTTTTCGTAACAAGAATACCAAAAAAACATAGAATTAATTCTTTTATTTAAATTTCATGTTTCTTTAATAATTAACTTTTTTTTAAATATAGATCTAGATCAATTATTTCTTAACTTAAACCATTTTCATAAATTAAAACAAAAAACAACAAAAAGATTTTTTATATCTTAGGATTTTTAGACGTCTTTTCAAATTTGCGCGTTATTATTCTTTCACACTTCCTTTTATTATTGTAACTGTATATTGGAATGTAATAGATGATTAGTAGTACTTTTACCGCTTTTATTTATTTTTTTCCCCCGGTTTTGGATATGTACATAATCCCCCTCCCCGAAGCCTTGTAATAGCTAGGTTTTATATATCTGCACTTTTAAATTACTGCAATTATTAACTGTTAGATGTATGGCTAATAGGATTATATGGCAAGAATAATCAAACATTAGCAAACTTAACACAAGACTAAAATAACTGAACATAACACACCTTGCACATATGCACCCTTAGGGTATACCTCACTTGGTTGCCTCAGAAAATAATGGTCATGTCCCTCGAACGTAGGGATGTCTTAGCAAAGACCCTTAATTCTAAAGTCATCATAAAGATCATGGTCCCTAACGTCCCTCGAGTTGCCTACGAGAAATGATCTTGTCCCTCGATGTTGCCTATATGATGACAATCCCTTCGAATGCTAAGATATCTTTACATGTTGCCTTCAATGACCATAGCGTCCCTTTCGATAGTCCCTCAACATCTAACGATAGGGCTACCTACTCACTAATAGTAGGATAGTGCTGTCTAAAGGAAACGAGAAAATGAACAATCTTTTTCGAGTAGGTAGAAACTCTTAAGTACTTGCTCAAAACAATAAAAACTCTTTTTCACAAACACTTTCAAAACAGTTTCCAAAAACAACTTCGTCACACTCTTGAGTACAAATACAAGGGTTATCACGAAGTTAAACAAAAAAATTTCAAAACACACACAAGCAATTTCAAAATGAGCAAGTACCTAAGAGCCCGTGGAAAACCACGGATAGAAAGGGTGCTAACACCTTCCCTTTCTATAATCTATCCCCCGTACTCAGAAACATCTTGAAAAAGGTTTTTCTATTCTTTTTCATTTTCCTTTGTTGGATGAAATAAAAGTCGGTGGCGACTCTTGCTTACCACAATATTTGCGAATACAAAATGTAAAACTGTATTAACAGTCGGTTCTGCCACCGTATCACAATAACATTTAACTGGAAGCACAAATGGATAGCATCCTCTCCTTTGGAGTTCTTGAGACTCGAAAAGCCACAAAGAATCTCTCTCATATCAACCGTTCCATCGCGGTTGTTGTCAAACAAATCAAATATTCGAGCTGCAAAAGGGATCAATGATGGCATTTTCATTTCTTTTAACACCTCCTCAAACTCACTAAGAGTCGCATTTTCTCTATCAACACATCTGTTAACAACCCATAACACCATATTAGTTAAATCAATTTCACAACTGGAACGAAGATTTTAAATAGTAGTCTCAATCCTCATCAAGATTTTTTTATTATTTAAAAATTTATGTCAAATATACTGAATACGACGACCTTGACATTTAAAAAACGTTTGTCTCGCATTAAAAATGCGATCACGAATACAATAGTTACATTTTCTTGAAATGTATCTTGAGATTTTTGATTTCGTCTTCATTGAGATCATATGATCCAACCAATGATCTCAATCTTTTAGTTCTTAGGAAGATTGTGGAGCTCCAAACACTAGCTATCGCAGTTGCGTGAAGTTTGCGTCTTGCATTAAATCTTTGTAGCCTTGACTTAATCTCAGGGTCCATTTGATCATCTTTGGCTTTCTCACCTTTCACCCAAGGATCACTTAGAAGTTGTTCCAATGACATAAGAAAATTGAAAACACTTCAATATTTTTAAGTACTAAAATTATGAAGAGTGTAGAATTATAATACCTCTTGAGCAGTAGGTATTTTATCAGGATCAACAGTTAGAAGACTTGAAATCAAGTTCTTTGCTGTTTGTGAAATTCCCTTCCAAGTCTTCTCATAAAAACTAAAATTTCCCTGTTCCAAGGAATTTTATTTAGTAAGCAAAAAAACATTATGAAATGAGTTTATCATGTGTAAGATGTTACTTACATTCAATATTATTTGTTGTTTTTGGCGATTATTTTGAGAAATGAAAGGTGGATAGCTATAAAAAAATTAAAAGCACTTAGATGAGATGATAAGAGATCTCTTTCAACCTCTCAATCTTAAAAGTATAGTTTCGGTTAAAAACACAATTGTGCATTGTGATTCTACCAAATTCAGTGATGATCCAAACAAACTACTTTTTTTAATTGACATCTGTTATGGACGTTTGCAAAACCTATAGAAAAAGGTCTAGGAGCGAATTTCGAGTCAAAAGGCTCAGAGAATAGATAAACCTTTGCTAAAATCAGAAGCGGACAATTCCGCCCTTTAACGCATCAAGCACAGTCCGATTCAATCTAATAGTTGTTGACACAACACGTGACATCATACGCGAGCAGTTTCAACCGCTTTTGATGTATAAGGGTAAAGCGCGTCATTTAAGATATTAAAATTTATTCTCACACATTACTTCTAATTTCTCTCGTTGACTTGAATGGTAAAGTGTTAACTTTACATTGAAAGTACTACTTCATCACAGCAAGACACAATTCCACCATCTCATCTTTCATTTCTAGTTCCTAACCGACCATCATCAAAGCATAAAACCTAAAAAAATTGAACATAAGAAAGGAATGAAAAAAACATACCTAGGGGGTAAGATATATAGAATAATTCCAAGAGACCACATATCACTTTTAGTAGTAATATTTCCTTGAGAAAGAGCCTCACGTGAAACATAATTAATATATCCAAACAAACCAATAACAGGATCAGTAAACTCTTCAACAGAACTTAACCCAAAATCCATAATCTTAAGACTAGAATCTTTCTCAACATCTAAAAAAAACACAATTCTCAGGCTTCAAATCCCTATGAATAATGTTAGCCTTATGAATAGCTTCTAACCCTGCTACAATCTGATGAACCACATTTGCAACCTCAGTCTTACTTATCTTGTGCAATAACTCTATCGAAAAATTTGCCGCCCAAACAAAGCTCAAGCACAAGATGAACACCATTTGTGTCTTCATAAAAATCATAAAGATCAATAATGTTCAGATGCGGCGAAACGTTTTCGACTATTCTTCTCATTACAAATATCTCATTTGTTAGTAATGTATGTGAGACAAAAACTTGTCTCATTATAGGGAAATTCATCTGTGTGCTTTTTTCACCACCATCTTTTTTCCTTGCTAAATTATTTAAAGTACCTAAATTATTCGAAGTACCTAATCTTCTAAGTGTTTTGATTGCTACTTGTGATTGTGATTTTGATTGTGATTTTTCATCATCATTGTTTGATTTTCTTATACCTTTTCTAACAACAGAAAATCCACGTCTTCTTAGAATTTCTAAAACTTCATATTTATCTAAGAGTTTTCTTGTTCCATATCCCATGGTAATGAAGAGGAAGAAAATGTATGAAGAGGAAAAGAACAAGAGAGTATATAATAATAATAATAATAATAATAATAATAATAATAATAATAATAATAATAATAATATTAATAATAATAATAATAATAATAATAATATTATTATGTTGAATAATGAAGTATAAAACGCGTTATTGAAATGGTTGAAATAGACATTAGGTTATAATAATAATATATACTATAAGATTATTGAATTAGTTTATGAAATAAAATATGAAATAAATTAAGATAGGTAGAAGGAATATTAAGTAGGGGGTAAGAGGTGTTTTAGAATGGACAAAGAGAGAGTCAACTGCTACATTTTTGCATTCTACGTTTCTTTGTTCATGATTTGGCCTAGTTGAAATTATAAATGTGTTTTGTTAAAGTATAAAACAAAAGAGAAAACTAGCTTTGTTTTATCTATAACAAACATTCTATTATTTACTTAAGAGATCTCTTAAATTTTATTTTTATCTACGAGCTTGTTCAAAAACAAGTCTAATAAAAAAGTTTTTAGGGAACAAAGTCATTTATGATCTAATCTACATAAAAATTCATGTTTTTTAAATAAATAAAATTAAGATTTTTAAATTTCAAGTTAATTACATGTTATAATTATTTTAAACCTAAACCCCAAGTTAAGAAAATATAAATGATATTATTATTTATTTATTATTATTATTATTATTATTATTATTATTATTATTATTATTATTATTATTATTATTATTATTATTATTATATGATTATTATTATTATTATTATTATTATTATTATTATTATTAAAATTTTATATTAATTTAAATATATTAGTTACATTAATTTCTTATATATTACGTATATTATTATGAAATATACATGAAATAAAATATCATATAATGTCAAAAATCTAAAATGTCCCTTTAAATATCTAAATAATATTTATTTTTAATAAATATTAATTTTTATTTCATTTAAATTATATATTATAAATTAATTTTTTAAATGTTAATATACAATATTATTTAAAATAGGTTAACTCATGGAACCAAATTTTCAAAAAGGCTCAAACCCATTAATAAAGTTTATAGCAGATAATAGGTGATACTTAGACTATATTTTTCTTGAGCAGAACTTATTTAAGTTTGTTAAAATTTATCTAGTATAATTTAGTTTTATCCCATAAAACTTAACTTTTAATTTATATTTTAAAAGATATAAGTTCGACTCTCATTATCCTGATGTCTCACAGCCAAGCATATCCTCGATGGACAACCAAGAAAAATGTTATGAATAAATATAAAAGTGAATATCCATCTTTATTCTTAGTTTTTCATCTTTCATTTCTCTATTAATAGTTATGATTTTCCATCTTATGAATATTTTATAAATAAGATCCACATTATAATGTAAATGAGGTTTTAAAGAAGATAATACAATATTATTTTCTCTCTTCTCTTTTTCTCCTTCGTCTCTATATTATTTTGATTAATTTCATAACAAAGATTAATAAATTTACAATATAAGAAACATAAACAAAACAATTCTATAATGATATGATTATATTAATTTTTCATACACCAAAATTATCCAGGTAGATCCTAAAATATTGTTATTCTTCTATAATAATGTTTACTTTGTGGAATAATAGACTTCATAACCAAAATTATCTGGGTAGATCCTAAAATATTGTTACTCTTCTATAATAATGTTTACTTTATGGAATGATAAACTTCATAAAAACAATTCCTAAAAAGAGCAAAAATAAAGTAGATAGCATACTTTGTGGAATGAAAACTTCATAAAGAAAAAAGTCCTCAAAAGAGCAACAAAAAAAGTACGTAGTATTAAAACACCATAACATAATGAATTAAAAAACTACAATGGACGAAGAGTAGAGAGAACTACATCTTGAAGAGAGCTATCTCTTTGCATAGCAGATTTGAATTCATCAAAAGTAACTTTTCCATCACTATTGGCATCCATCAAGTCGAAAATCTCATCCAGTTTTCCAGGTTCAGTGATATCAGTTGGAAGACAATCATATGGCAAAGCCTGTTTAGTAATATACTTGTGTTAAAAGATGAAAGTGAAAATATAAAACTAATTGATTGAAAGGAATGAGCATTACTCTTAGCATATATGCTACTTCTTCCTTGCTTATGCATCCTGATCTATCTGTGTCATACATCTATTTGCCAGCAAAAATAAAATCAAAAATTCACAATAACATGTTGACATAGTTGTCTTATGTTTTTAGAGACTATGTGTAGGTTAACCATAATTCAATCTTGACAAAATAACTATAGGTTCTATTTAACCATAGTTTACTCGTGACAAATTTATTATTAGAGCCTATTTATTCATAGTTTAACAAGAGAGGGTCTAGTCAATCTTGTACGCACTCAAAGACGGCATCTCTCAGTTAAAATATATGAGATTATTTTGAGTCTTCTATATATAAATTTTTACTATCAATTGATTTTGTAACATTACCTGGAAGCACAAACGGAGAGCATCTTCTCCTTTGGAATTCTTGAGACTCGAAAAGCCACAAAGAATCTCTCTCATATCAACTGTTCCATCGCGGTTGTTGTCAAACAAATCAAATATCCGAGCTGCAAAAGGGATCAATGATGGCATTTTCATTACTTTTAACACCTCCTCAAACTCACTAAGAGTCGCATTTTCTCTATCAGCACATCTGTTAACAACCCATAACACCATATTAGTTAAATCAATTTCACAGTTGGAACCAAGATTTTAAATAGTATTCTCAATCCTCATCAAGATTTTTTTTTATTATTTAAAAATTTATGTCAAATATACTTAATACGTAGAACTTTACATTTAAAAAACATTTATGTTGCATTACAAATGCGATCATGAATACAATACTTACATTTTCTTGAAATGTATCTTGAGATTTTCGATTTCGTCTTCTTTGAGATCATATGATCCAACCAATGATCTCAATCTTTTAGTTCTTAAGAATATTGTGGAGCTCCAAACACTAGCTATCGCAGCTGCGCGAAGTTTGCGTCTTGCATTGAATCTTTGTAGCCTTGACACAATCTCAGGGTCCATTTGATCATCTTTGGCTTTTTCACCTTTCACCCAAGGATCACTTAGAAGCTGTTCCAATGACATAAGAAAATTGAAAACACTTCAATATTTTCAAGTACTAAAATTATGGAGAGTGTAGAATTATAATACCTCTTGAGCACTAGGTCTTTTATCAGGATCAACAGTTAGTAGACTTGAAATCAAGTTCTTTGCTGATTGTGAAATTCCCTTCCAAGTCTTCTCATAAAAACTAAAATTTCCCTGTTCCAAGGCATTTTATTTAGTATGCAAAAAAACATTATGAAATGAGTTTATCATGTGTAAGATGTTACTTACATTCAAAATCATTTGTTGTTTTTGGCGATTATTTTGAGCAATGAAAGGTGGATACCTATAAAACAATCAAAAGCACTTAGATGAGATGATAAGAGATCTCTTTCAACTTAACGTCTCATTCTTAAAAGTATAGTTTTGGTTAAAAACACATTTGTGCATCGTGATTCTACCAAATTTAGTGATGATCCAAACAAACTACTTTTATTTAATTGACATCTGGTATGGACCGTTCGCAAAACCTATATAGAAAAAAGTCTAGGAGCGAATTTCGAGTCAAAAGGCTCAGATAATAGATAGACCTTTACTAAAATCAGAAGTGGACAATTCTACCCTTCAACGTATTAAACACAATATGATTCAATCTAATAGTTGTCCACACAACACGTGACATCATACACGAGCAGTTTCAATCGCTCTTGATGTATAAGGGTAAAGCGTGTCATTTAAGATATTAAAATTTATTCTCACACATTACTTCTAATTTCTCTCATTGACTTGAATGGTAAAGTGTTAACTTTGCATTGAAAGTACTGCTTCATCGCAGCAAGACACAATTTCACCATCTCATCTTTCATTTCTAGTTCCTAACCGACCATCATCAAAACATAAAACCTAAAAAATTTGAACATAAGAAAGGAAAGAAAAAACATACCCCGAAAGTAAGATATATAGAATAACTCCAAGAGACCACATATCACTTTTAGTAGTAATCTTTCCTTGAGAAAGAGCCTCAGGTGAAACATAATCAATAGATCCAAATAAGCCAACAACAGGATCAGTAAACTCTTCAACAGAACTCAACCCAAAATCCATAATCTTAAGACTAGAATCTTTCCCAACATCTAAAAAAAGACAATTCTCAGGCTTCAAATCCCTATGAATAATGTTAGCCTTATGAATAGCTTCTAACCCTGCTACAATCTGATGAACCACAGTTGCAGCCTCGGTCTCACTATACTTATCTTGTGCAACAATCCTATCGAAAAGTTCTCCGCCCGAACAAAGCTCAAGCACAAGATGAACACCATTTGTGTCTTCGTAAACATCATAAAGATCAATAACGTTCGGATGCGGCGAAATGTTTTCGACTATTCTTCTCATTACAAGTATCTCATTTGTTAGTAATGCGTCTGAGACAGAAACTTGTCTCATTGTAGGGAAATTCATCATAACCTGTGTGCTTTTTTCACCACCATCTCTTTTCCTTGCTAAATTATTTGAAGTATCTAATCTTCTAAGTGTTTTGATTGCTACTTGTGATTGTGATTTTTCATCATCATTGTTTGATCTTCTTGTACCTTTTCTAACAACAGAAAATCCACCTCTTCCTAGAATTTCTGAAACTTCATATTCATCTAAGAGTTTTCTTGTTCCATATCCCATGGTGATGAAGAGGAAGAAAATGTATGAAGAGGAAAAGAATAAGACAGCATGTAATATGTAATAATAATAATAAATATATTGAATAATGAAGTACAAAACGCGTTATTGAAATGGTTGAAATAGACATTAAGTTATAATATACTATACTATAAGATTATTGGATTAGTTTATGAAATAAAATATGAATTAAATTAAGATAGGTAGGTAGAAGGGAATATTAAGTAGGGGGTAAGAGGTGTTTTAGAATGGACAAAGAGACAGTCAACTGCTACATTTTTGCATTCTATACGTTTCTTTGTTCATGATTTGGCCTAGTTGAAATTATAAATGTGTTTTGCTAAAGTATAAAACAAAAGAGAAAACTAGCTTTGTTTTATCTCTAACGAACATTCTATTATTTACTTAAGAGATCTCTTAAATTTTATTTTTATCTACAAACTTGAATAAAAACAAGTCTAATAAAAAAGTTGTTTAGGGAACAAAGTCATTTATGATCTAATCTACATAAAATTCATGTTTTTTAAATAAATAAAATTAAGATTTTTAAATTTCAAGTTAATTACATGTTATAATTATTTTAAACCTAAACCCCAAGTTAAGAAAATATAAACGATATTAATTATTATTATTATTATTATTATTATTATTATTATTATTATTATTATTATTATTATTATTATTATTATTATTATTATTATTATTATTATTATTATTATTATTATTATTATATTATTATTATTATTATTATTATTATTACTTATTATTAAAATTTTAAATTAATTTAAATATATTAGTTACATTAATTTTTATATATTACGTATATTATTATGAAATATTCATGAAATAAAATATCATATAATGTCAAAAATCTAAAATGTCCCTTTAAATATCTAAATAATATTTAATTTTAATAAATATTAATTTTTTTCATTTAAATCATATATTATAAATTAATTTTTTAAATGTTAATATACAATATTATTTAAAATAGGTTAACTCATGGAACCAAATTTTCAAAAAGGCTCAAACTCGTTAATAAAGTTTATAGCAGATAATAGGTGATACTTAGACTATATTTTTCTTGAGCAGAACTTATTTAAGTTTTGTTAAAATTTAATTAAGTATAATTTAGTTTTATCCAATAAAACTTAACTTTTAATTTATATTTTAAAAGATTATAAATTCGACTCTCCTTATCCTGATGTTTCACCGTCAATTTATGAATTTTTTTAATGATTGTGTAAATATTATTTGAATTCTAAAATTTTATAGTCTAATTTATATATTTAAATTTTTTTAATAATAGAATTTATATTTTTTCAGTAGAAAAATAAATCATTTTATTTTCGAATAAATAAAACAAGTATTATTATTTAGATATATGCACGTGTGCATTAAGATATAGATTTTTTTTTTGTTTTTAAATTTAACTAATCAGTTTTGATTAATATAATAAATTGATTAATTTGATTTTATAGTTCAAAAGGATGACTCATTGATTAAATTTTATTTTCATTGAAAATTGAACTCGAATTGTACATATGAACAATTCGTCTATAGATTTGTTATCACAAAAGATTAGTTGTTGGTTTTTGTATTTTTTTTACTGTTAAATGATATATTATCTATAGATATAGAAAAATATAATCCAACTAAGAAAAACCAAATATATTTGGGGTGACAAGGGAAGAGAACATAAAAATACCTGTTAACAAATTGACATGACATTCAATTTTGCATTTAAAACAATTTAAAACAAGTGTGCACAAGGATGTGATTAATGGAATCAATGTAAAGAAACCTCTAACTATATATTACAACATAATTAATTGCTTAAAAAACATAATTAATGTAAACTTGTTTTCATGTGAGATAATCTTTCTGGATCACAGATTTTAAACTATTGGAATTTGAGACTATTTATTTAATTATAACCCATTTCAGATAATTGCTATTAATATATTCTATCTGTAATAGATTATAAATAAATTTAATTTTTTTTATATATTTGATAATTAATGAATATAATTCATATATAAACTACATAAATTCCTCATTAACAATTCTAAATCACTTCCACAATTGAAAAATGACAGTGGTTATATAATCATCGAAAATGAACAGACTACTTTTGAAAATAACAGCGTTCCTCATCGCCCATAAATTCCATACCACCGCCATCCAAATTGTTCCTACTGTTAGTCTTTCATCTGCATTTTTAATTTTGTGTCTATTCATGAGGAAGGATCTCAAGTCTTCCCCCAAAAATTTCACCGAACTACCGATCCAACCTTCAATTTTGTTCCAAATTCTTCTAGTGACAAAGCAATAATTAAATAAATGATGGGCATTCTCTTCATCTCTCGAACAAAACACACAACTAAAATCCTCTTCCCCCGCTATTATTTCTCTTTTTCCGAAGTTGATCTCTAGTGGCTAGTCTATTCAACAATAGTCTATAATCGAACATCTTGATATTGGATGGGGTTCACAAACTCCACATAAAGCTTAACGCATCCCTGACCCAGAGAACATGATGATTCATCTCTTTCAAAAAACATTATCAACAACAAAAACAATAGACAACAATCAGAATTACAACATTAATCAACAATTTAAGAATCTAGATCTTGATAAAAACGAGTCTGTATTGCATTCATCCAGCTAAAAACCTAGGTGTCGTCCTTCTCTCTCCTCCTCTTTCTAAAAACAATTATGAATTTTGGAGTCTTTCTATGAAATGAGCACTCTTGAAAAAGAATAAGCTCAAGTTCATCAATGTCAAGATGACAACACCACCTAAAACTGATCCCCTCTTTAACACTTGGGAAAAATGCAACAACATCGTTCTTCCATGGCTTTCTGCATATTTATCTCCCATCATTGGTCAAAGTACGATTTATGTCGAGAAAGTAACACAAATAGGGACAAATTTGTCTAATAGTTTCTCCAAGGCTGATCATTTTCGCCTTCCTGATTTGCTTCAACAAATTCATTCCATACGCCAACGTGACAAATTTGTAACTTCCTACTTTAATGACTAGAAAACTCTTTGGAAAGATTTAGAGGTCCTTAGGATACTATCAAATTGCACTTGTGGTGCACATCTCACAATAAAAAAAGCAACGAGACATGATGTATGTAATTTGTAACACCCTAATTCCCCTTTGGTAATTTAACCAAAAATCAGAGTAAATTAATTCATAAAATAAAACATCAAGAATATGATGCCACATCTTCGTACATCATACATGCTCATATAAAAAGATACGTAACACATAGTCACTTATTCATCATGTCTGAACTTCATTTCATTTATTCACAGCGGAAAACATCACTAGTAATTATTCTCAACATGAGTGATAGTCATCATAATTCAAAATTCAACATAAAACATCAATTAAATCCAACAAATGGAGTTCTACAATAGTTTACTCCCATCATAATAAAACAAGCGCAAAATCCCCAAGTGTTATGTATCAGAGCCGACAGCAACTCAATCTACACAAAATAAGACAATTTCTCAGCTAACCTCGACTTCGAGCTACTTCAGATCATTTGCATGTTATCCACGTAGAGGCAACATTCAAACAGAAGGGGTGAGATATCCCAACAATATAATAAGTTATATAATCATAGGTATATGGCAAATATATCACACAAGATTCCAAGCTCAACAATCATCAATCATAATTCATAATGATTATACAAGTACATACATATTTATCATCATCCATCATACAACACATACCAACTATGCAACTCAACATCATTGATATATCAACAATTCAATCAAATGCAATGCAACTGACGCTGATGCAAGATGCATGTGGTACCATCATGGAATAAGCCCTCATCTTTACGCTAATACACACCATCATTCACCAATATAGGCTATCATTCACCAATACAGACCATCTTTCACCAATACAGGCCATCATTCGCCAATACAGGCCATTATTTCGCCAATACATACCCTCGTTTCGCCAATACAGGCCATCATACACAACATAAGCCCTTATCATGAATGCATGCAAAACTGAAGCGCAACAACATAAAGTGAATTGATATTACTACTCACAAATGCCACACAATATAGGTCATCATCATCATGCATTATTTATGCAATTCATTCATACATCATTCGTATAACACCACCACGTTCAATCACAACAATATGCATCACACTTCATACAACATTAACACACAAGGCATAAAACTTCGCCAAAATAGTCATCATAAAATAGAAAATATCACTTCACATCAACATCAAAATCCTCATGATTAATTCCACAACAGCAACAATTCATCATTAAAAATACGACATTCCCATTTAATCTACTATACCAAGCATTTTCATACATTTCACAAAACGACATAACTCGACAGTACGAAACACTCACCCACGCATCAAATAGTTGGAATTTTGGTAATGAAAATATTTTTAAGAGAAATTACGTTAAACCAGTGTTCCAACAATCTGAACTACGTGTCAATCGGATACCCAAAACTCAAGTTATGAATTTTTGAAGTTTTACAAGATTTATCAACACCGACAACCTACATCAACAGACACTGACACCAAAAACATATTTACATACCAATTAAATTTAGTTCCAGAACTTGAAACCATTTTTACAAGAAGTACATTATATTAGCTTTCCAACGGTTCAAACGACACCCAAAGCAGACTCACGGTTTGAAAGTTATGAACTTTTGAAAATTTCATTTTTTTCAATTTACTCTCGGGGTAACCGATTACCCAATATGTGGTACCCGAGTACACCCAGTCAAAATGCCCAGAAATGTTGTTTTTCCATGCGGTAACTGGTTACCCATATGCTGTAACCGATTCCTACTGTACCAGAGTAAAAAAAACTAGATTTTTATGTTATGAAAATCATCATTTTCCAACCCAAAACCCCAATTTTTCAACATCAAAATACATAATCTAATTTATCACACTGTCATACTACATCTACTATATTCTAACTCAATTC